GGGGGGGGGGGGGGGGGGCCTGTGGCTTCTCCAAAGTACCCCAGAGGGTCTTGTTTGTTCAGTGGGGCCTTGGACAGTGTGTTCCTGGTGAGGTTGGGTTTACATTTTTTTTTCCTCATTAGCCTACAGAGAGTCAAGTTGGCCCAGCTCTGGTTTGTGGCTTCTCTTTACCCCTAGTCTATTCCCACATAGTGGGACTCCAGGTGGACTCTGGCTCCTGCTTCCTGTATGCCTCTGCCAACATATCCACACACAAGCACATGCACACACACAGCTCGTGTCTCCCCCTCCTCTCCCGGGGTCCTGTGCCCTCCCAGGCTGGCCACTGCCTGAGGCCCACCCCTCTTTCTCCACCTCTTCCCCCTTCCCAGTTGAGGACGGGGACAGCTGAGACCAGGCCCCCCTGGTGCCTCCACCCAAGGTTCTCAGGCTGGCCCCCAAACGGCTTCTTACAGTACGGAAGTTTCTCAGATTTCTTCCTTATCTGTCAAGAGCCACAAGTGCTTGATTCTCTTGGAAAGTCAGGCCTGGAATCCCAGAAGGGAATTACCTCCAGGAATTAGAGGCAAAGTATCTGTGTGAAGAAGGAAGCCCCTGTGGGAGATGGTCTGCAAACAGGAGTATGGATAACACCTCACACATGAGGCCAGTGCAGGTGTCTGGGGCAGCCAGGGAACCTCCACTTGCCCCCTTTCCACCCCCTGCTGGCCCTGCTCCCCGTTCTGAGATGAGGAGAGGACCTTGGAGAAGCTCTCTCTTTGAGTGCAGATTTCCTCCTTGAATGGGACTCTGGTTCCTGTCAGCCACCCAACACTGGTCTTCCCACATATATCATGGAGAAAGACCACTCCCGGCCTCTCTGTCCCCCAGCTCAAAGTGCCTCAGTTCCTCCATCTGCTCCCCAGCTCCCCCCAGCACTCTAAATGGTCATGCCCATGGGAAAGACCCTGGGATGGGAGAGGCAGGCTCCGAGGGCCCTCATGCCCGCCCATTAGGATTCTAGTTGGCCCAGGGTGTCAGGGGCTCATAGGATGGCAAGTGTTGGGAGGGGGACAGACCACTGTGTGCCCCACGGGCACTGACCTACCCTGCCATAGGCTTCTTAAGGGAGCCACCCAGCCCCCCCACCCTACTCCCCTCCCTGGTGCTGCTACTGAACCCCCCCATCCAGCTCCATCTCTGCCCAGACCACCCTGGGCCCACCTGCTGGGCCACCCTCGCCCGGTCCTCACTGCCCTAGCCCCAGCCCAGGCCGCCCAGTAGCCACGTAGCAGAAGTCTGAAGCCATGCCAGCCCTGGGGCAGCTCTCCCCTCTTGGCATTCGGGGTACTGGATGGGGTGGAGTTAGGGGAGAAAGGTCTAGGGACTTTCTAGCCACAGGGCAGAGGGAGGTGGAGGAGCTGGGCTGCTTCTCCCAGCAGTATTAGTGTCCCTCTAGGGTTGGGGACCTTTTCCATGTTACATCAGTACCCCATCCCATCTCACGCCACTGGCCCCTTGGCCCCCTTTCTTCCCCAGGCAGCAGGCAGTCCCAGGGGCCTGCATGATAGAGGCATTACCTGTCCCCTTGAAACCACAAGACTGAAAGTACTCCTCCTCCTGCGTCTCCCTTATCCTGCACTGCCACCCCCTGTTCCTCATTCTGTGGTGGACTTAGGAGGCTCCAGGCCCAGCCAAAGCACTGAGTCCTCCTTAAGGCACCTCCACGCCCTCCCTTCAGGCAAAGCACAAATTATGGGATCCATGTCGCAGGGCCATGTAGGAGGTTCCTGCCTTACCAGGAGCCCAGCAGCAGCATACCAGCTGGGGCAGCTGCTATCCTGGGCTGAGGGTGGGGATGAGGCAGGGACTGCACTTGGCCTGGGAGACGGGGTTTTCTGTGCCCCGAGTTCATGGGAAGGTGGGCACTGCTGTTGGGCCCACAGACACAACCAGCTGGCACAGGGGAGGTCTGGTCCAGCAGAGAGATGAGGACATTTTGCTTCTCCTTCATGCCCCCAGTGTGAGCTGAGCTTCTGCTTTGCCATAAATGAAATAAACTTGGTATTAATTATGCCAAGGCCTCCCCAGTTGTCCTTCTGCCTCCTGTTGCCCTCCCTGTCTTTGCCTCACCACCGACCCCCGCCTACTCCACCTTTCCCTGTATTTCCGTACAGATTTTGATATTGCTCTAATGTGTAACAGAATCATCCGATTCCCCTTTTATCAGAAGGATCTGAACAGCAGCAGCACAGAATAGGTGAATGCAAGTGCAGTACACGTGAACACGGTGGGCACACACACCTCCAACACACCCAAGCACAGGAGCATGTGTGTGCACACACATGCAGCACACACGCAGCCAGATGGACACTCAGCACAGACACAGCAGAGGAATGTGTTTCTGCTGAAAGCCCTTAAGGAGAAACAGTTTCCCAGTGCTTGGGCTGTAAGAGACATTCACAGGGGCCCTGTTTCCTGGGCACATGCCCAAGTCACTGGTGCGATAATTTTTCTGCCATCCTCAAAGACCCGGGAATTGTGTTAGGTGAGTGTGGGCAGCTCACCTGAGCCAAGCAGACACAGGAGTCCCCTCTCCTGGGACGAGGGGAGTGCTTCCAGGCCTCTGGGGTCCTGACAGGGACCGTCAAAGCCTGACTGCCAAAAGAAACCCTCTCCTAGTGAGGGACAGGTGGGTCCCCCCAAGCCCCTACACCCACAGGTAGACCTCACAAACTGCCCTGTGCCTGGGCGCCCGGGAAGCAGCCCCTCTGCCGGGGTCCAGGCATGGGGGTTTCTGCTGCTCTTCTGACCCCTGCTGTGAGGATGGGATTATTGGCCGAACAAATTGGCTTCCTTTTTTGTATAAACGGAAACAATCCAGGAGAAGCTGCCACCCTCACTCTGTAACACGCTACTTTGCTCCAGTTTCTCCATCACCCTTTTCGCCTTTGGTCCTGGGGACAGCCCAGCAGATTCTCCTGGTTCTGACCCAGGGGGTGTCTGCATCACCCCCTTTTACTTGTATTAAAAAAAAAATGATGGGTTGAAAAATGTACTGAGGAAAAAAAATGTACTTTTTTATAAATAAAGTTTAAAACAAATCCATTTGCTTTGGATCACTCCCCTCATTTCCCTGCTGTGGGGGTGGGAACGGGGTAAAGCTGGAGAGGGTGGCACAGAAGGATAGTGAAGGGACGGAGCCCCTGCCCTTGTGCTCCTATCAGGTCTCTGACAGGGAGGCAGTCTCCAAGGAACCCCACCCGCCGCTGGCTTGCAGGAGCCCCCCAGGAGAAAGTGCACAGGCTCCATGGAACCATCTTCCCCACAAGTGGGAAGACCATGGACCCTTCACACAGGAAGGGCGCAGCCTCTGCAGACACAGGATGGAGTCCTTCAAGGAAGTGAGGCCTGGGAAAGCCAGGGGACACAGCAAAGAGCCTGGGACTGGCTGGGGAGTGCAGGCGCCTCCTGCCCCAGAGCTGCTAAGCTCTCCAGTTCCCCTTATCACTCCACTCCCTGTTGTCCTGTGCCTTCCTGCCAAGTCCCCTCCTGTGGCTGTTCTGGAGAAGAAAACCAGCAGTGTCACACCTGCCATGTTAGGTCCCTGGGGACAGAAGAGACAGGAGCTTTATCCTTTCATCTTTTATTTTGAGGATATTGCCTGCCCATCCCCTCAAGCTCTCCCTGAGACCCAGTCCCTGCCCCATTTCTCTCCAGGGGGCTGGTTGGAGGGAAGGTCTCCTTGTTCCTTGGTTACCTCCCGCCTCCTTACACCAGCACCATCTGCTTCCCATCTCCTGGGCTGGAATGCAGGACAAATCGATCCTGGGGATGGGAGTGGTAGGGACTGCCCCCTCCCAGCCACCCACCCCCATCCCCCGTCCCCCACCCCCGTAGCATCTCCTTTCACTGAAATCTACACCATAGACCTCTGGGAAAGGGGGTAGGGACAATAGAAGTCAAAGTGGCTGCTTAGCAGAAAGCCCTCCTGCCCATTTGGGGGTGAGGTCAAG